TGCTCTGAGGTTAGTGAGAGCTGTGTGACAAACCCGAGGTTTGTAGGGCACCAGGCGTACGGTGGGTGAGTTCTTGAAGGGGTTGCAGTTGGGTTTTGTTTGTGTTTTTCGGTCCCCGTAATAGATTCGTTTGCATTTGAGTCCGCTGGAAAATGCTGATGGAAAACAAAGGCCATCAGGGTTTGTAGCATCCCCTTCTGAACCACCATTTTGAAATTTAACTAAATTGCATTAAATTTGGCCTTGTGTTTAGTGTTATGTCCTGCTAACTCCAGCTGTGAGTCAGTGTAAATGTATAAACCTTTTAAACAGAAATGGGAGCTGATCTTATGCAATGAATTTTTTTTCACAGCACCGTGATGCAGAATCAGTGTGTGAAATCATCAATACTTTCTAGAAGAGTCAACTGCATAGCAAAAAGCTCCATGTGCTTCAGGCAGGTTAGATAAACAAGTAGGATTTAAGGAATCCTTTTAGTATAGGAGTTAGTGTCACCCAGTTAACCTCAAGATCAGCTATGAGGTTTCCTGTAATAGCAGCAGTTATTATATTGTCTGAGTTATTATGGATAATTGCTTTCATAAACAAATTGATGTGGTTTTTTTTTTCCCTTGATTGATTTGTGTGAAGCCATTTTACTGATGCTATTTTTGCTCAGAAATGTGAAAAATAATGTGTGGGAAAATAAGATTTTGAAATCTTTCTAGCCCTGCTAATTATTTTTTTGATTCCCTAGATAGTAATTCCAACTGTCAGAATTAATTCTAGTCCTAGTTTCAGGACTGTGTAGTAAGTACTAATTCTGATTTTCCTGAAACAATGTGGTATTCAAAAATATTTGCATTTTCAGAGGATGTTGCAATGCCTTTTCTGCTTGTTTGTTTTTTGGTTTTTTTTTGTGTAGTTTTTGAAACCTTCAGCACTAAGTTATTTCTCTGGCTGTGTCTTATTTTAGTTTTCCTAATTAAAAAAAGACACCTTCCATTCTGCTGAGGAAAAGTACCACTTGGGAACAGCTTTGCAGGAACAGAGATGTACAAAACAGAGCGTAGGTTATATCACACAGAGAAAAAGAAAGGATCATGTTGAGTTTAAAAGGAGGGGTTGGGTTTTAGTTTCATTTTTAAAGGGCTTTCTGTCAGGAAATGAAATAATCTGCCCATAAAGCAAGCAGACCTCTCAATTACTTCCCCCATTTGCTTCCACAAACATCCTGCCACACCTTCCCCGTGGAAGGGATATGTAAAACAGGTCCTTATGTTCATCCTTGTGGGACTGAGGTTGGCACTGGTAGGAAACCAAGGTCATTCTGGTACCTTCAGGAACACTGAGCAGGTGGATTTGCCTGTTACTTTCTCCAGCTTCGTTTTGATGCCTGAGCAAAAGGAATCATACTAGAAACATTGTCTAAGCAGAAGCCTCATGGATAGATTGTTTGTTAAGGCAACACGAAGGGACTTTTTTTTTTTTTAATCCACTTGGAAGTGGCAGAGTGTAGACTCCCCACTGCTAACACATTGTCTGTGTTAGCCAGGCTGACATTAAGCATCTTTTGAACTTCACAGTATAGTTCTGTGAGCTCTTGGGGTTTTTAGACTGAGAAAAGGAAAGTCCTGCTACTAATGTCTTTAAGAGAGAGTGTTATGGCAGTTTGTTTCTATGCTAGAAAACATAAGTAAACATCCTTGATAAACCTGTGTAAAGGTACCACACAGAGCAAACAGACAGGATGTGGTTTTCTTGGTACCTGAAGGATGTGTAGAACCACCAAGTCGTTAGTTCTGTGAAACAGGTGTGAGAATTCCTGTCAGCTGTTTTGTTATCCTTTGGAAGCAAAGGGATGATGCAACCTGGGAATTAGTTACGGGTGGAAGAGAACTGTCACAGAATACCACGTGTGAGGAGTCATGAGGAAGGAACATATTTGAATGGGCATTATTTGCATCACAGAAGAATATTGGACAGAAAGCAGAGATGACCCTGAGAGATA